ACTTTCCAAATGTCGAATGACGCTTCTTGGGTTGCCATATCACAAATCGACTAGGGCCCACAATCAATTAACGTAAGGTAGTGTTGCCCACCATAATGTGTAATATCCATTCCTAAGCGGGTCCAGATTTCAGTCACACTTAGGTTACGACAAGGCCAATGACTTGAGGCTGGGTCAATTGACTGGCATTCTTTACATTTTTTGACCACTGCCTTGACGGCCACCTTGGATGTTGTAGGGTAAACTTGTCTCACAAAATACAGTGTTCGCCTGATGCCAGGATGTCCACTCTGGCAGTATATGGCATGTATCTGATCAGGAGAGGTTTTTCACACCGCGAGAAGATGTAATGTTGTGTCAGGACCTCAGGAACTGATGGAATGCTATTTTCACGTTTCCACTTAAGCGTGTTGTTATCTTGCTCGACATACAAACCCAGCACACATGTGCCGTCTTGTAACTGCTCCAGATCCTTGCAGGTCAAACTAAACACAGCCAAGTGCTCCTTCATGTGAGCTGATGAAATCATGCTCTCATCAACATAAATATCATCAATATATGATGAGGTTGCCTGTCGAACTGACTCGTCTTTCGACGACGCGGCGTCCACAATGGCCTTCATTATGGCTGGTGCAACATTCAACCTGAAACCCATTTGGGCCAAGCAATATCTTTGCCCCTTGAAGATTACAGTTTGAAAGGGCCAAAGTGACTTATGGATATGTAGATAGGCCTGCCGTAGGTCAAGGATAGCAACATCCAGTCTTTTTTTTTACGCCACTCCCTCAGTTTGTGTGTGCACACATCGGCATTGGCTGTCTGTGCATCGAGACACTCATCCAGCTCTCGATAGTCTAATACTGGCTGCACTTTATTTTTGTTTTTCTGCACCACAGCCATCAATGGAATTAAACCTTTTGGAGGACCAAGTTCCTTTTCAGGATACGGCTGCAACCAAGCCATTATCAAGCCAGGTCTGCAGCTCACGGTCGTATTCCTCCTTGACTCCCATTGGTATTGGGTACTCGGGCATCTGATTTTGCAAACTCTCGACCATTTTTCCATTCGTCGACAGCTGGGAGAGGATGCTCAATTTTTGCATATTGAAATACTTTTATAGCGACTCCCACAACAGACTTGTTTTTTTAATTTAAATATTTCGTCTTCAGCATGTCATGCAGAATACGTGCCCTTTTTTTGGGTAAATAATTTTCTTTTTCACCACATTTTCTGTCATAGGATACACACGACACACTGTCGCTTGGTTTGATGAGGTAAGTTTCCGTTTTCTTTGCTATACCATTCCCACTAGTTCCTGCTGCTCTAGCTTAATTAGCTGTTGCTGGAAGTCCCACCTGTCCAGTAAAGATAGATTAAACTTCTAGTGCTCAGCTATTGTAAGCCTAGAACCTAATGCTATCCGGGCACAGATGAGTCTATGGTCCAAATAGCCTAACCAGTGGAACGTGGGACAATCTAATAAGTCTATGTCTGCCCTTCTTACTAACATTCTATCCAGGTAGCTAGCTGCTTATGTGCCCACATCCACATCTCCTGCCTAGGGTGATCAACCCGGTATCTATCGACAAGACCAAATACGTTGATCAGATCAACCGGGCGATGATCACCCAATGACCTCCTGCTAGTTCCCCACCACCTATCTATATTGGGATCCAGGACTAAGTGTGGTGAATCCACCAGGAATGGCCCTAACTGATGATAAAATGAGTAACACACCACCTGGTTGATTGGCGCATAAACCAAAATGACCTTAAATGAACCATTGTTCACAGCAATATCAGCCATGATCAACTGGCCCCCTGCATCAACGTGGACAAGATCCACTCTCACACCCAGGGTATGTTTAACCATCAAGGAAACGCTTCTGGCCAGCTGGTCCCCATATGGTGAATAGACAACAAAGTCACCAGACAGCACATGAGCATCAACTTTGCAAACAAAGTGTGTCTCCTGGATCGCAGCTACATCTACACCAAAAGACAGGAGATCATGAAGAAGACTGGTCACCTTACTTTGATCTCTCAAGCCTCTTGCATTCAAGCTAGTTAGCTTAAGAAACATTTTCTAAGTGGATTCCCCTAGTCACAGACTGAACGGAAATCTGTGATGCTAAGGACCCCTGGTGGATTGTCCCAGACTCCCTGCAACCATCTAGGACAATGCCTCCGATGTCCGTGGGATATGTTAGCTTTAGAGCCCTGTATAAAGTGGGATGGAGAATAATGGGGACCCTCCTGGCACAAAACTTATGCAATTTCCTCAATTCAATGGCTGGGAATGCCTCCTTAGCCTCCCAAGGGTTATCCCATACAGTTAATACCCTCCCCATGTCCCTAATCAACGTTTTGACACCTGAGGCTTTTGGGAAATTTCTAGGGTCTTCTACTGACACCCCACTGATGAAGGGGCCTTAGAAATACTTTTTGTTGCGAGGAAAAGCCCCACTCCATAGCCTGCCTACCCACCGACATTTTTTCCCCCCTCTAGGGAATTTCTTTGTATTCTTCTTTGTATTCTTCTTCTTAAGAATGTTGGGAACTGGGCTTATGGGGAAGGAGTGTGGGGAAAGTGGTTCCTTAATAGAGGAACAAGAAAGGCTGCTTGCTGTACTGTCCACCAATTTTTTTTTTTTTTTTTTTTTTTGACTGGGCAATCAGGGAGGGAGTGGGACTTGGTTTTGTCCAAGGCCTTCTCTGCCCTGCTTCGACCAGCCTGTTTTTCTTTCTTGTTCACTTTTCCTCTTCCTCCTCTCTCTTTTTAAAGAGGCAGACTGAGGTGGGGGCATCTCCTCCATTTTCACCATTTGTTGCTGCTCCAGTTGAGGGTCCTTTTGCTGCATCTCTTGTAACTTTTCCTGCTGCTGACCTCCCTGCTCCAGTTGGGACTTCTCTCTGTCCTTTTGTTGCTGCTGATGCTGGTTGCCTTTCTGCTTCTGCAGTGGCTCTTTAGGATTCTTTGACTCCTTTGGAACATCCTACTGCCGAGAGGGGGATGTAACTTGCGTTCCTTTCTTCATAACTTCTGTCCATTCACCAGGACCATTTTTTGCTACTTTGGCACTTGTCAGTGCTTTCCTTGGCAGTTGTCTTTTCAGGTTGCAGTTCTGCCCTCTTCCCAGGGCATGTTTTGGATAGATGACCGCTGCCCCCACAGGCCCAACAGAGAGGTCGTCGACCTTCAACCACCATATAGATGGGACGTCTTTCACACATTAGAACATTTGGGATTGCCAAAAAATTTTTTGGGTAACTGTCTCCATATCTTCGATGTCCTCAGTAGCTATCTTGGCCTTACTTTTGATGGCTGAAACACTGGCAACCTTGCCAAATTTGGAAAAGAAAAAACCAAAGTGGTCAAGTGAAATATACAGGGGCATTCGATGCATCCATGCAGTATTACTTTTGTCTTCCTGGTTCCAAGGTACTCCGTTTGGAGCCTCACTGACTTGGTTGTTAAGATGCTATCCACCAGTGACTTTGCTGCATCCTCTGATGCCAGCAGGATATCCCACATAGCTCTACTTCTTCTGGCCAAAACTTTGGCCCCAATGTTCAGGTTTTAATTGCTTCCTCTGTAGTCAACAAGGAAATAGTTTTGGTGTTTATGGATTCCAGCAGAGATGACACCAGTAACAATTAGTTTCCTTTTACAAAATTCTCAAATTTCTCGGTGAGACTTTTGTAACATTCAGGTCCTTTTGGGGATAATGGGTGTTGCCTTTTGGAGTTGGGATTGCACCATAGTGTTGGCGCTCCCATGACACCGTTAAACAACACAAAAACAAGAATATGATGAGCAGAAATTTATGTAATGCACCAAAACAAAATACAACAATACAAGCAAACATGGACCAAATTTTACACTTACTTCGAACTGACAAATTACTTTGAAGAAGAGCAAAGTTGACAGTCAAAACTTGATGACAGAAATTCTTTTTCCATCTTTATCAAATTAGAACTTTATAACATTGCAAGTCTCCTATATTTTCTTGGTTTAGGACACCTACATAGGAGTGGATAGTAACAGTTTGGAGTGTCAGATGTTTTTATTTTTTTTTTTTTTTTTATGACCAGCAGTAAAATCTATGAAGTTGGATCTTGAAAGCAAGCCCCACTCCCATAACACACGCTTACTTGACGAAAAGAGAGTAAAATAATGTATAAATAAATGAAAATTTTTGAAAACAAATGTCCCTTAGTCTGAAGTTAGGAAGTTTTGATTGCAGGCTTATATTTGTGAAGTCACAGGTTAGGTAGAGCATTGCAGGCTGTGAAAAGCATGTTATGATGTAAAAATGAGCAGAGCAGGAGTAGCTGGAGAGGCAGTTCTTGCTGGTTGAAGAGAAAAGCTGATCTGTCATATCAAAAATAGCAGAAATTGGCCCAAATTAACCTCTGAATAAACAATCAAATATATTGGAAATAGGATTCTTTATATTTTTTTTTTTTTTTATTGTTACTTTAACTTAACCTTTCATTTCCTATGGGCCTTTCCCAGTTTTTGTGCATATCATCCATATGTGAATAGGAATCAAAACAGCATGAGGTGATTTGTTCGGTCAATGAAAAGGCTGAGAGAGGGGCTCATTGTAACACTATGGTTGAGATTATCAATGTTTAAAAATCGGTAAGTTTTTGGTTGATTTAAATAAATATATCACAATATATTAGATTTGTGCAAATTTCTATTTTCTTTTATTTTCCATGCAGCATGCCCCACCTCATCTGCCATCTAATGTTTCATTTTTGTTATTAATATAAAGTTATTTGGTATTGACTCTATTAGTTACTTTCTCCAATTCTTTCCTTCCAAGTACCAGTTTGTTACCCTATTCATTCTTGGACAAATACTATCCATTCATTTTTATTTTGATTAACACATCATTTTCTTGATATGCTGATATTTTATGCTTTTCTAGAAAGAAGTGAATACAAAATTGAAGCCCATCAAATAATTATAATCATACCTTTATTTTCCAGTTTGATCCTATTCTTGTGGAAAGTAGACAGGCCTTTACAGTGGTGTTGATGTTAAAGAGCCCTGAAACTGATATACAAGCAAGAGCATGTGAAGCTATTTATAAATTTGTCAATAAAAGCAAGTATATTTACTGTTATCTATATAACATCTGTGTTAACTTGTATATCTAATTATATACACATGCACATTATCTCTCTCTCATATACACACACACACACACACACACACACACACACACACACACACACACACACACGTGTACATATAAAAATGTATGTATTAATGTATGTTAATAAGAAATTTGTCCATGTGCTATCCTTACCAGCTGCCTTGTAAAAATGCATTTACAAAAAATGGATTTGATTGGTTGAAAATAAAATTGAATCAATATTGTTATGATGTACATTGTGATAGACAAACACAACTGGAGGTTTATCACTTCAAATAGATATATATATAAAATATGAGATAAATAGAAGGAAGGTTCATTGGTAATTTTGCACTTTATTCTGGGGAAAAATTGAGCAGCTTACTGTGAAAATTGGGGTAAAATTTGTTTACTACTGCATTGTTGACTCCATGTCCTTTAATATCTTCAAGATCTTGGTAGATAGCAAATATCATATCTACTGCTTAAATCAACTTTTGTGAGAATCATTGTCTTGTCTGTTTATTTGTCTCTATTCTTCCAAACCAAAATTTCAATTGCTGTTAATACTGCCAATCCTCTCTTTTTGAACCAGTTCCTGAAATCAATTCTACTAGTGTGTACATAATGGGTCAATCCTGGGATATACCACTTGTACTCCCCTACAAATTCTGCTTGTGTACACCACAATAATTATCTCACCAACATGTCTATATCATAATATAACCTGATTTATATTCTTTGATAGGATTATATTTATGCTACGTAATGAAAGTAAAAGAAAATAATTGTTTGGCTTTGTAATATTTTTAATTTCTTTGTTGTAGGTGATGAGAACAAAAGGAGTGTTTTGGATTTGAATCCAATTGATGATATTTTAGAACTGATCAAAAGTGAAGACAAAATTGTTCATCGCAATGCATTAATGGTTCTGGCTACAATGTGTGCACATAGTGAGTAATAATGGGTTTAATGTTTTTCTTCAGATCCTTGAAAGAAAATGCTTTAAATATTTTCCTGAATCATAGTTCATGTATGAAGCCAATCAGACCAGTGGTTTTCATGAGTTTAAATTTCAGCTGAAGTTGTTGCAATCATCTTCACACAAATACACTTGGAAAGGTATGATTCCATCTCTCTCCTCTCCATTTAGGGGTTAATAGCAATGCAAATTGGCTCTCTATAGTCTTGGGTGGCAACCAGTCTAAGAAAAGGAAAACTCTAGATTCAAAACTAGCCTGAAGAAGGATCTGCTTCAATAGGCTAATTTGCTTTAAACTTGTTATACTGTCTTGTGGTGCCCCCCCCCAAAAAAAAAAACCTAATGGATTACAAGACTTATGATGTGACGTAGCACAGCTCTCTTGGTTTTAAAAATTGTGAATGTAATTTTTGGTGTTAAATTAAATTTCATTCCAAAGAACAAATATCAAATTTAGTAATGAGATGCTTATTTTTCCCAATATGTTTTAAGAGGATGTAATGAAAAATTCTTGGTCCAAACAAGTTTAAAAAATTTGACCAAATGCCAAAACATCAGATTTATTTTTAATCTTGTCTTGGTTGGGCCAAGAACTTTTCAGCCCTTCTTTGTAATAACATCATTTAGAAATATATGTGCAAACATTAACAATGTCTTTTATTTGTTTCTTATATATTTTGGTATTTGTAGGAATAGGTTTTTATGAAAATAATATTGGAAAAATATAATATAGTCATTATTATCAATCTTTGCAAAGTCAGAATCTTGTCGATATTTGTAAATGGCATGGACATATAGAATATTTGCCCACAAAATCAGAGATGCCTGTATACCTTGACTCTCTATGAATGCAGATAACAGATTCTAAAAGACTGTTAATTTGATTAATTTGCATGGAAGACTTTTATAATGAGTGCCATTAAATCTTTTTTTATTTTATTTGTAAAGCTGATGTCCGCAAGTTGCTAAGGAAGAGAAAAGATGCTGTCCCTTCTCTTGTAGCTCTTCTTAATCCTGAAGGTAAATAAAATTTCTTTCTTCAACTTTCTTATTTTAATTGATGAATTTGTTGTGGGAATCACCACTTTTGTTGCAAGGTGTGAATGTTTTTCAATAAATATTTAATAGCACCTGATACATTTGTCTTGCAAACAATATTTGGTAGACTCATGTGAGTTTGGGTAAAAGAAGAGACAAAGACATGGATTTTAAAACAATTATTAATAAAAGAAATTACATTAAGTTGTACACAGTTAAAAAGAAAGGAAAATACATTAAAAACTTAGCTATTAAGAATGTGCTTGTTTCTGTGTGTGATACACGCATGTATGTGCATATGTGTGAGAGTTTAGTGAACTGGGGAGATGAATGTGAGCCAGTGGAGACATCCTCCACTATCTACTGCTACATCTTAAAGGAAAGAAATGATTGTCTTAAACAGTGCCACCTAACTGGTGTTTGACAATGCCAAGTGGGGTAAGCAACAACATAGACTGTTAGTCTGATGAAATTTATTTATAGATATGAAACAATTTTCTTAACAGATGTTTATATTTAATGTTTATCAAATCAACCATGTTCTGATGGTTGATTTGATGAAAAACATTAAAGTAATGAGCCAAATTAAATGTAACACTGAACATAATGTCTAGATATTGTCTGTTCTGTTTGTAAATTTTTTCACTCTTTCAGTTGGTCAACCCTTTGCTCACATTGTACTGAGTATGTACTTTGGTTGTAGTGGAAAAAAGCTTTAAAAACATTTCATTTATCAAGAACATTTATTGAAAAATAATAGAAAAGTATAAAAAGTTTCTTTTTTTTCTATAGTTTTATAAAACAAAAATTAATTGAAAAATATAATCATAAGCCAGTACTTCTTTTGTATTCTCAAAAAGAGTCAGTGTTTTTAACTTTATTTTCTGTACACTTATTTATTTTACTATTATTATAACCTCTGATGTTATAATTTCAAGATATTCCATGGTGTGCTAAAAATCTCTTGGCTTAACCCATTTGTTCTGATGTTTGGTCATTTAAATTCTGATTTTTGGGAAGTAGAATTGGCTGTGAACTTTTTTATAGTCTTGTATATAATCGCATAATATATAAAACACATTTATTATGTATAATATAACATTTTCTTTGTCAATGAATATGTTTTTCTGGTTCCAGAATAGAATGATTTGATTAGTTGAGTTGATGAATGCCTCCTACCCCACCACCAAAAAAAATGAAGTGATCTTAAGTTTATTGAATTTGATTTTCTTTTCAGATGTTATAAAAGCAAAGAATTGTTTAAAAAATATTGAAAGCTCTTAATATTTGAACTTAAAATGATTTGCTCTTATAATTTTAACGAATGCTTTTTTAAAATTTTTTTTTATTTTTTCAGAAGAAACAATTGTACTTGAATTTGCTTCTCTGGCCCTCGGTTATATGTCTTGTGAATATGTCAGTAAGGCAGAAATTTTTCGTAATCAAGGTCTTGAACCTCTTATTCGGTGCCTATCAAATTCTGATCCTGATGTACAGAAAAACTCATTAGAAACTATTACACAACTTTTGCTTGTAAGTTATCTTTGTTTAATATCCTTTGAAGATTTACAGGCAAATTGGATTTCTGTGAAGCTTAATCAGAAAAATGATGTACTTTTTAGAAAATTTTGTGATTACTGATCAAAAGGAAAATATTTGTAAGTTGCTTAGGAAGGGAACTAGTATCAAATAAAACTATTGTGATTATCTTGTTTTGTAGCTGAGAAATGTCATGGATTTTAAATTAAAAAGGATATTTGGTTATATTATTTCTATGCCTTTCAAATATGTGGGAGGGGATAAAGGATTAATTTTACCATTATTTTTTTTTTTTTTTTTTTTTTTTTTTTTTAACCATTATTTTTAAATATAGAGAATTGATAGTGTTGATTATTGATTATTTAATGTGTTTATAATGACAAGTGACAATTTTTATTTCCTAATTTTAAAAATTTTTTTTATTTTTTAGAATCACCAATGCCAGATATGTATGAAGGATTTGAATAGTTTTCCTCCCATTTTGGAACTCATTAAATCTGAATATCCAGTTATACAACGATTAGCACTTTTAGGTCTTGAGAGATCTTCTCATGATGGTAAGTTTTAAGGAAACCAATGTTGTCATTATTTCAATAAATCTTTCTTAAAATAATTTTCCAATCTTACTAGAATATTATTTTTATGTTGTGTGAAAGTTTGCATGTGTTTTTTTATTTTTTTTTTTTTTTGCATTCTTCTACAATATTTGTTTATCTCTGATTTTACTTGGTGAGATTAAGCATTTGAATATTTCACATGTGTAGAAAGAGAACCTATGACATGTTGGTTCTTTTAAAGAAATGATAGTCAAGAAAGAGAAATGGTTTTGATTTAAAATTAATCTTTTAGTTTCATTTAATACAAATTGCATTCACACTTATACCTTCTAGGAAAGTAACTCAGCTCAAACTCGTATATTCATGCCACCATTAAAGATGCTGGAAGGATGCTCAGTTCCTCGTATTGCTTAAGAAAATACCTAACTCTTTATGCCATGCTCCAATCTTTATAAGAGTTAGATTTGAACAAGTATGGAGTATTATTGCCCTATCCTCACTGTCCAGCCTTGACAGAATTCAAAAGTATTTAGGTTGCCTTGTGGGTGATAAATTATTCTTCACCCTGCAACCCTTATCCCTCAGATGAAATGTTGCTATCCTATCATTAGTCTCACTATTACCATGGTAAATGTATAAACTGGCTACATTCTTTAAGTCCACCAGCTCAGACCTGCCAAGCTATGTTCACAGTGTCAAACCCCCATTCTGTTTGAAGTTCCACTTGCAGAGCTTTTTTTTTTTGCAGAACAGTTATTTTGTGGAACAAACTCCGGAGAAGATGCTTCCCTGATCACTACAATCCTAATGTGTTTAAGTCAACAGATATCCTACATATCTTCATAAGATGCACTTTTTACTTCCTCCTTTTCCCCTCCCTGATGCTCTTACAACAATCTCACTCATTAACTTTCTACCTTGAGTAGCTCTTGGAATTTGTACTGGGTGTGTAGTGATTCATAAATAAGAAGCAGGAATTATGTACCTGCCTTGTCAGGTAAAGGAAGGGAAGTAGAATTTCCATAATCCACTAGAAAGTCTGTTTTGAGAGACTTTGTATTTTTGCATCAAAACTGTTTTTCTAGAACTATAAAATTATAACACACCCTTGTTTTATTAAAATGCCTAAAATACACTTTTTTTCTTTCCTTAATGAATTTTTTGCTATCACTTGATATGATGTAATTAATAAAGAAAAATACACATCTGTGTATGCTAATATTATAGCCTTCAAAATATATACTTTCTCAGTGTTTTACAATGTTTAAATTTCATTAAAGTAAAATAAAAATCTGTCTTTTTAGTTGGCAACAGAGCTGCTTTGAGAGAACTTGATATACTCAACATTCTGGTAGACATTGTGGGTCATCATGAGTGGCCAGATCTTCATGTAATGGCTGTCATGGTACTGTCTAATATGCTGGAAGATATGGAAAGTGTTGAGGTTAGTTGGTTTTATATGCATTTAAACTCTGTGAATTAGTTGCTGAGAAAAAGGTGACATTTTAAGATACCAAATTGCACAATATTCACTCTGTAAGGCTCACCTTCATCTATGTAGTCTCTATATAACTAAAAATATTTCTTTTTACTATCGGATTACTTAGCAAAATACAGCATCTGTGAATACTGCTAGTTTACTTATGAAATGATTGAATAGGCCCAAATCTGTTATAATTGAAATGCAAATTGTATTGAATAAATTAAACCTATGGAGTTAAATATTTTTGTCATATGGTAAAAAGAATTTAGAATCTTATAACTAATTCAATATCTTCTTAAGTTCCTTCATCTCATTTGTTGTGCTTTTCTGCAGACAGTGTTATTTAACAAAGCAGTGAAAATTGTCACAGTGAGACGCTGCAAACCAACATTAGGCATTCAGACAGACTATACAGACCGTCTGAAGTTATTATGCAGAAAACCAGAAAATCACTTTTTATTTCAATAGCAAAGTAATATCATCAACTGATCAAGACCTATAATAGAACAAATAACAAACATATATGATAAATCTTTGAAGCATTTACATCATAATATATTAACCCTTCTCAATAACAACCAGCAATTTATTATCCATTGATTTTGTTAATTTTTTTTATTTCAGCAGGTTCAATTTATGACATGGTGGTTTTAATTACTTCCCATATTCCTGTTTGCTATAATATTGTTTGCCACCTTCATATAATTTCATTTATACAATTAAGCATAGATTTTTGATTGGATTCAGATTGAGACATGATGGTGGCCATTCCATTATCGTCTCTCCTGTAAAGCTTTACAATAAAAAAAATTCATGTGTAACCTTAGATACATGAGGAACATTGAGTTGCATAAATATACACTTCACTTTGAAATTGTGAGGCTGAGACTTGTACCATTCAAAGAAAATCTCGTTCACTTTAACTACTTCATCAACTTCGGATGCTTCAATAATGCTTTGGTCAACAATTCCAGCCCATATCATCAAACTGTCACCTCTTTGCTACTGCTTTTTAGGCACAGGCTCATCTGCATTGAATAAATCCATCCTCTGGCCTGTCCATCAAGTGTCACCTGAGATTCATTCATGAAAATTACTTTAGAAAAGTTAATTTTTTATGCATTTCTTGGCCCAATTTTAAAATGCTTTAAAATATTTCCTTTACTTAGAAGATTTTACCTCGAAGATTTCTTGGTAGATCCCAGTTTGTGAAGTATTCTACACTCTTTACCTTTCTTGACTTCCTCAATTTCAACCTGTTGAGGTTTGTGATTTGCATAATAACTTCAGTCAAGCTGCAGACTGTATAAACTTAAGTGATGAATAAGAAACTTTGCCAGGAGTAACTTTTAATTTTAGAAAGGCTAGGAATGTGATTAACTGGAATTAGAGAAGAAGATTTGTACTTTTTTATGATGACTTTTGGTTTGTATTTGCTCTTGTTCATGGGGTAAAGAAAAAAAAAAGAAATTTGATATGTATTGAATTTTGCAATATAATAATAGTTACATCATACTCGTGCTAAATCTAAAAACAAAAAAATCTTAAAATAGTTCTAAAATCATTTTTGAAATATAATTTTTGCAGTTAAAAATGTTTTTTTTTTTGTGTATTTAATATTTGTTTTGAATATTAAAAAAAGCTACAAAGATTCCATAATTAACTCCTCCAACATTTACTCTTTGCAATAATTGTAGTGTCTGTAGATGATAAGAGTAAGCACTAAACATTAACAGTTTTGGTCATACATGTTTGCTTTCAAATATTATTCTGATATTATGAAATTTATTATCCTTCTCTTTGTCAAATTTTGACCAGATTCTCTTGAAAAATTTTAATCTGGCTAGATTAAAGTTAAGATGTGAAGCTTACTAGGTATTGTGTTAAAATTAGAAGTGTCCTTCCTTTCAGAAATTCAAAGAAGGTTCTGGCCTGAAGAAATTAATTGCATTAGTCACTGACCAAACTCCACCAGAGGAAGAAGTACAACGGAAAGGGGAAAAGAAAGCAAAGTCTGGAAAGAAAGGCAAAGAAGGTAATGGACACAAATTTATTTTTACCATTTTTCTGTTTCTGTCTGTCTATATCATATTAAGCATGACAATGGTCATGGAGACTGAGCATTCTTTGTTCTTGGCCCATATGCATATATATAGGCATCCCACATAAAAAAGACCTTGTGTCACATCTTGCCTTAGTGGGGAGGTTAGGTAAAAGTGATCAGTGAGTTAGTCTCGCAAGCTATTGATAGTAACCTTTTCATTAGAAGCTTGTTTTGTAGCTGAAAACCTATTGTTTTAGTGCTTCCTGCATCTGTTGTAGTTTCCATGGAAATAAACAGAAGGCATTACTTTTGGAGCGTCCTTTGTGGAAAGCATTGTTCTAAACAGGTTTGTAAAAGTTGATAAATGGGTATCTCGGTTTGTTTGAGTTTTTGTTCCATGTTTCCATGTATGTAGCCTTGTTCCAGCTTCATGAATGCTTGTCATTTTCAAGTTTTAAATCCTCTTATTAGACACTATTATTGACAATCTTCTTGACTCAAACAACAATCGTTTCTTTTGTTTTGATGTTTCTTTTTATATTCATTTCTATTTTTTGATCATTTGTTATATGGAATTAACACATTAATTCCATCTATATTTTATCGCACGCGAGTTTAATATAGATGTAATTAATGTGTTAATTCCATACTAGAATGTGTTTTTGAAACTAGAGACTTGCATTGCCATATATAAATAACTGAAATTAAGCTAAGTTAAGCAGAGTAAGGAAATAATGGTGAAATGTCTCAAATTCTATTTTAATACATAAACAGTTACTTTGTGGCACTATACTTCTTTTGAGACGAGTTCATATTTGATATATAAATCTGAAAATCTGCTTCTCCATCTGCCTATTTTATTGCCAATTTTTCAAACCTTTTGATCAGTTTGTATTTAACTGAGTGAATGTCTTTTGGGATAGCAAATCGATTCAGAAAAGACATCACCAAATATAAAAGTTATGGTCTCACTCTTGGATATAAACAAAAACATAGCATGACATGTCTGTCTATGTTTCTGAGATGAAGTATTGTAACCATTTATATCTTTCAGACTGTTGTCCTCATGTTTCAGCCATTGTACACTCTGGCCTTCTTCAGGTGAGATAAAAGCATTGGTTAAGTGATTGAAAAAGTGACTTGAGCCAAAGTGTTATGAGTTCAATACCTGGCTATGGCAGAGGGAACAAAAACTTGGAGAGTTACTAAAGGGAAATAACTGAAATGGTGATATCCAAAAATGGCATGGCACATGGAAATAGAACAATCTATCCCTGTGGACTAAATAAAGGGTTTGGTTCATGATTCCAATGTATATCACTAGAAGAAGGCTGGAGTGTACAGTGGCTGAAATGTCATGTATGTGGCAATAAAGATGTGGACAACAGTCCAAATGTTGTAAATAGTGTAAATAATATGACATGTCTTATGTATTACATGGTAATAGACTGATTTTAAATTAAAGTGAAAAAAAAAAAAAGATCTGTGTTGAAAGCTTTGAAATTTTCTTGTTCAACTTGACATTAAGACAATATTTCTGTGTCGGATTTGCTTTAAACTTAACCAACTAATTTCACTTCCAAAGGTGGTAGGAATGTTGAAAGCCGTATGAGTTATGCTGGTAAGTAATGGAAAGTTTTGTACTTTGTAGCCCAAATCCTTATTCACTTGCACTGTTCACTAATTTTAAACACTTTGATATAAATGATAATGAAATTTAGTATGAAAAAGCAACTATTTTTTTTTGTTTGTTTTATATTTTCCAAATCAACTTTTGAAATTTCTGCCCCATAAACTGAACAGCAACAACTAAAGGATCAATTTTAATCATACAAAATGGAGATAAATTGAAAGCCTGTAAAACAGGTTTCAAAATAAAAATCCAAATATAGCACTGCATTTAATGCAATACTAATGCATGTAGGAGGCCAAGAATTTGAAGTCTGAAGCAGTAGATTTTAAAAGTTGGGATGTGTTAGTGAACAGTAATCTAAAGATGTCTTTTATAAAACATGTTTTCTAATTTGGCAACAAAACTGCTGTACCAAGTTTATGAAAACCTTGATATTCAATGACACAATGGCTATTTCTAGAATGTTATTACTCATGAAAGTTACAAGTTGGATTAGGAGAAATTTAAATAAACAGAAAAGCACTTTTTTTTTTGTCATATCTAAATAATCACACATCATCAAACAAATGCTATTAAAACAAGTACTGTATTGAAATTTTGTACCTCACACTATTAATGAAGTCTTAATACTTTAACAAGGTAAGTGTTTGGATTTTAGTTTTTGGGGGAAGGTGGGGATTGAGCAACTAGGTATACCAAGCAGAATCTGTGTGGGTTGGTGTTACCTAGTCATTTGATTGATAACTTGATTGATCTCTCTCTACTTTCAATACTATTCATCTTGAGAGCTTACAGCACCCTGGACCTGCAGCTGTATCAGGTTGTCACACTTACTAAAATCATGACCTCTCTTAATGGGCTAGTGTTTTCCCTGGTCTCATTTTGGGCTCTCAATCAACCCCATCTACAATATGGTTTACAATTATCATATATGACAGCAATTAAAAATACTTTATTAAAAGAATCAGACAACTGAAACATTTGCTTTAAATTGAGCTCAAATTTATCTTGGACAGTTGGGCATTGTTTCAATATAGATCGCTTTGAATTAATAATCTACATTTTATCATGTTTTAAAATCTACTACACTAAAAAGTAATTGAGGTAATTTACCATAAGTTTTGTGGTACAATGAAACTACACAATTGCTCAGTCCTCTTCTATTTGCAAATGATTAAAAAATTATTTCATCATATTCCCCTCTTGTTATTTAACACATCTATAAATTCATGAATATTATAGAACATTTTTTCCAGTCAAAATGTTCTGGAGCTTTATATATTTGCTGTAATCTATAAAGTTGAATTTCTTCTATGACAGGAAGTACAATTGAAGATTCAATCACTGACAGTGCAAGTTCAAATTCAGATGGTTTATCAGCATCACTATGAAATGCTTTTGAAACAAGCCCAGAAGACTTATTCATTTCATCAATTCTTGGTTCTACTGATTATTTTAATTATGGGCTTTGCTGTAAAGGTTTGTCACCAAGAGGTGCAAACTGTTGAATGAATACACTCATTTCTTGACCTCCTAAGAAAACATTGATGATTTGCTTTTATCAACAAATGGAGCATATTTATTTTGATGGAGTAGGACTACTTAGCTATGAGGGAATAGATTGTCTTGTTTGGTATGCAGTTAATAGCAGTACACAATAGATTTTATTGAATGGAGGGTCTCCTGGAGAACTGTCATCCAGATCTCTGCAGGTAGACCTCTGGACAGACTTTCAGATAATGTTGTTTTACTTCTTTACTTAGCTGTTGCCAAGAGAATTGTACAAAGTTGTTTAAGTAGTTTCAGTTCCTATTGAGAAAAGATAGTTTTAATTTTTTTTTAAAGCAATGAAGTTCAGTCTGAATAACTTTAATTGCTTAAACCTTTTGTAACTAGAGTTGATGATGTAAATCAAACGTACTCCTCAACTGTTAACATATACAGATGATCGAAATGTATGGAAATGATTTGAAATGTATGGATATTCATTTAAAGAACTATCATGTTAATGAGATGAGTTTGGTCAGGTTTCTTGTATCTTGGTTTGATCTCCTGCCAAATGTGACAGTTAATACTGATATGTTTTAATACTTTCTAGTGAGTATGCAAGGATATGAGAGCAGACAAAATGGCACCTTATGATACCTGGAAAGCATATGGCTGCATGTACAGAGTACAGTGCTTCAGACCTTACTGTTTCACAATTCATACAAGTAAAAGTGGTAACTTTGTTTTTTCCAGATCTCTAGTGTATGTCGTAACTGTAAGGAGAGAGCTTGACTCTCCAATGTATTCTTTCTTGATTTTTATGTAAAGACTTTGAATCATACATATAAGGTAGTTCGCTCTTATTCCCAAAAATAATTTTATTTTTTGTCAAAAAACTCCACTGCACCTAAAGGGGTGAATCCTACTCTCCTAGTTCTTTAATTGAATTCATCCCAGTCAGAAGGTTGAAACCAAGTGGCTTTTCTCTCACCACCAGTATGTCAATCTTGACAGGACTTCTACCTTGCAACCAGAAAGCAATGACTCCAATCCTGCAATAGGCCCTGGTCTCCCCACCTATCATTGTTATGCATACAGGCCTGCTGAAATATGCTGAGCAAAAAATATTTTTCTTTGGATTCATGTACATTGCATTTAGAGTGTTGTGAGCTTGCTGATATGAGTCACATTCTGCCATGTCGTCCTAATTGCTGAGAAAGTTGGTTCAGATTCTGCAGGCTGAGATTCTCTGAAATTGTTGAAAGTTTTTTGACTAACACTTGTGTATTTTTGCAGCCTCACATTAATTTGGATCTGTATCAAATCATTCAAGACTCATTAACTTCTCCATTTTGCTTGAAGTAGCCCATTGCTTGGGGTGATTTACCATAAAATCATTTACAACCATGTCTAAACAAGCATGTATTTATAATTGCTGCTTAAATGACAGCTATTGCACAAAGTCTCCCTGTGAACCATCCCTATTATTTCACCATAATAATATAAACTACACAAATGTTTGTAAATCTCTTTTCTATGATTAAGAATATACCATTTTTAAGTGTAATGATGTGAATTTTTACTGTTAATTTCTCCAATGTTTTCTGGTTTAATTCAGAAAACTTACATTTTTGTTTTTTTTAATTGCAAAAAGTTATTGAAAGTTATAAAAACATTTCCTTGCATTCTGAGTTCAGGTAAACTTATTACCCTAGCAATAACATTTATTTATTTTTTTTTTAATGATTTATATGCATTCTGTGTTTATAATCTTGCCCTTAAAAGATTGTAAATGAAATTATTTTGTAGCATTGTGTATTGTATATAATTTCTCTACTTTTGAAAACGTTTGTGAAAGCAGGTGGTTTGT